CGATGTAAAATTGTCTGTCCCTTCAATTGGAGGTAGCGGTGGCTGCATATTAGGTGCCCTCCAGGATAAAATGGCCACCACCTTCGTCCGTAGTAGTGGCCAGTGCCTTATAGGTAAGTGCCCGCCATTGGAAAAAAAAAATGGCTTCAGATAAAAATACGCTTCAGATACAGAAAAAAACCAGACAGTCAGACAATGTCGATGAGTTAGTGCGGTATTGAATACTCTCCGCAAACCGCCGAGAAAGCCAGTTGTAAAGAGTAATTATCAATTAATTTTTCTTTTCATTTAATTCTAGGTGTAAAGTATCACTTAATTTCTCGAGAAAGAAAGAATAAAATTTTTCTGGAGAAATGAAAAATGTCTAAATTTCATGAGCTAGGATCGAATAATTTTCTGGTGCTAAGAAATAGCTGATGCATGAAAACACCAAAGAACAATCAATTATCAAAGATGACGTTGTATTATTCAAATTTTATTCTATTATACAACCAGGTATTAAGTAGACCCTGTAACAAACAGATGTTTATAGTGCAATAGTATTTGCATTGTGAATAAAATGTTCTATATACAAAAATATGGTTTAAAGTGAGGTACTGAAGTACTATCACTGAGTGAGTATCACTTAAAGTGAGGTACTATCACTGAGAGTAATAAATAGTTGTGTGGAGGGGCGGGAAATAAGACTTCACAGAATGATATATTATCAGCTTTCATTCATTGTTTATTACCGTCTGGAAACGGCAGACGCAGCCAAAATATGAATAACGATCTGATTCAGCACATTTTTTTTCAGTTCAAAACGAATTGCTCAAAGTTCTGCATTGTGAAATGCTTTAATTGCTTTGTCTGCAAAAGACTCAAAATTCATTACAAATTATCGGTTCTTGATTTTGCGGTTTAATGTATAAATTTTATTATCCTGTTATATAAAACAAAACACTATTGAATTTGTGCTGAATTTCCTACGTCGACAAAGCATGATGCATTTAACAGTAAGTTACATGCAGAAGTTGTATTAGACATAACGTTGAATATACGTATTTGAATAAATACTGAAGCCTAACGAACAAGATATTAGTGTATTTTATCACTGGTAAGTAATATTATCAATTAATATCATATCTTACTTTCTTGATTTTACAGCTGTGTGTTTGTTTTCACCTTGCGATCACATATGCACTTTTTAAGACACTTTAGTACTTTACTCTTTCGACCATAAATCACCCTAATGTTTCTGCTATACTCTTCCTATATCCGTGCTTAACCGATTAAGCGCTATACAATAGCGCAATATATAGGGGAACTACCTTTTTGTTTATAAATTCTATTCTGAACAAAAAATATTTGCTTACTTTTGACGAATAAAATGAACAATTTTGTTAGGATAGCAAGTTCATTGCGGCACGAATTTCCACGATTTGTTTTTGAATTTTAGAAAATTCTTGAGATTTTATGTAAAAATTTCCCTCGAATGTCTAATAAATCCGCAGATTACAGATTTCTTCCTGCCACCTTAAATTTCTATTATAATTTTAAGACATACTTTTTAAAATATTTAAACTTTAATGCTACCTTTCTTCGGAATTCAGGGGAAAAATACCTTACAATTACTGGTTAGAGCGTCCCTAAGGTAAAAATGTTTGTGATAAATAAATAATAACAAACGTATGAATGACATTGTTATCAATAATGAATGATATATAAGTATGCTCATACAATTTTCAGCTAAAATCGTATAAATAAACATGGAATTATTTCTTTTTTTCGGAAGTGTCGGCAGACAAAGGAGGGTTGAAGATAGGTACAATATACAGTAACTTTTTGTATAAGGAAAAACAAAATTCTGAAAGCTTTCAGATTTTATAATTACGTTTAAAGGGACTTTTTTTAACGTTTTGTGTTTGATCTTTACTTATTACTCTTGTGTATTACCTTTACAGAATTGCTGTATTCAGCGGAATAATTAGAATTCTTGGATAAGTAAGTTGCTGACGAAAAATGGCAAATTTTAGGCTGTTAGTACACTTCATAATTTAAAATTTTCGAAGATGGAAAGTAGAAAAATAAAACGATTTTTATTTTTGTTATGGCTGGATTAATTATTAAGCAATAGAAGCACCTCCTTATAGACTCCAAAGCGAACAGAATTTTTTTTGCCTCTCCCCCCACCCCAAAAAAAATATCTGAAAGCTTTCAGATTTTATCTTACGCCCAAAGGGGCGGTTTTTTAACGTTTTGTGTGGTAACTTTATTTATTAAATATCACGTTCTACGCACGTAAAATTCAATTCAATAGCAATACCCGAAAGTATTTAAAATGGCATATCTTTAGAATTTCTGATACACAGTCTCGCGGGCTGGAGATATTTTTTCTTTCGTACAGTGTTGCGATTGCTCGCTTTAAAATCGTTGAATTTCTTAATCGATAACTCATAAATGCTTTACAAAATATGAAATTGATAATAAAACAAATTTCAAATTTGCGCTTCCAGATGCCCATATTTGGGCGGAGACGTACGTTATTCAGAATTGGATGGCTCTAGGTACCGTTGTTTTATCACAATGAGAGAAACATACATACATTTACGAAGATTGTTCATTATTTAATTTCTTTAAATATAACACAGGGCTCTAAAATTTGGTGGCAACAATTTAAAAAATTATTCTCCGTTTGTAATGAACCAACGCAAAATGCTCAAACGAAATTAATATCCCTTCTCTGCTAACGCTATTTGGGCTAAAAATCGGGAAAGAAACAGAATCATGAAGCTTGTTGGCGATTATTGCAGAATTTAGTTGGTGATTTTAGAGATTGACCATGTTCGCATTAAAGCAATTAGTTATATTACTGATTGAGAGAAAGCACTGAAGGGGGAAGTCTGTGGAATGCTTCCTAAAGATAATGGTTGGTGTTTACATTTCACTTAAGCAAAACCAGATTCACACCTTGAAAGGCAAACACTCTGAGGATTAAATGGAAGACTTGACCATCGCGTAAAATTAAACAACAGAAACTGTTTCATGTTCCTGCATATAATTGGACGTTTTATGTTACAGAAACATTAAATGAGGGAGAATCAAAGAAACTATACATTTCAAAGCCTTTTAGCAAAACCAAGCCACCTGAGAATCTAATTTTCAGAATTTCAATGTATAAAGATCTGGACAAAAGTAATTTTGTTAATTAATAATAACTTTGTAACAAAACAAAACATTATTTTCTACTTTGTACATAAGTTATCCTAAATAATTAAAAAAATTTTTGACCGTACCAAATTTTTGAAAATAATTTTGACCGTACCAGTGCCTGTGACTGGATTGTTCGTAACATGTGTCACCACGGATTTTCCTGTATTCGGGAGATGGTTCATTCTCTCTTTAGACAGCTGAATAACGTGCATGACCCTGACACGAAAAATTAATCATGTTAATCTATTGATTACATTTGAATGCTTATGGTTTTGCAATGAATATAATAAAATTATGAAATAAAATACCAAAAAAACTTTCGAATTCTTTTGACAAATTTTCGTAATCATAATAACCTATGTTGCCTAAATTTGAATGAATACGACCAAAATTTTAAGATATTTACTTACGAATTTGAATAAAATCCCGGCAGTTTTTTTATTGTTACTCCAAAGGACGATAGCCCGGAAGGACTTTTAGGCTCGAAACGGCATTTTACGTCAAATCACTTAAATGCGATTGTTGTCACCAAATATTATCGACCTGTATTGTATTTAAAGACATTAAATAATGAAGAATCTGCATGAATGTATGTATATTTCTCGTATTGTGAAAAAGCAATGGTACCTAGAGTCATCACATTTTGAATAACATAGTCTTGCACTGGAACATGGACACCTGGAAGCCCAATTTTGGAATTTGTTTTATTGTCTATTTCATATTTTGTAAAACTTTAAACGAATTTTTGGTTAAAAAACTCAACAATTTCAAAGCGAGCAGTGGCAACACTGTAGGGAATAAAATATCTACATCTCCAGCGCGCCAGACTGCCCATAGGAAATTCTAAAGATGTGCTGTTTTTAAATATTTTTAGCCCAAACTGGCATTAGCCGAAGTGCTCTCGAAACGTGTATGTGGCTGTAAATGAACAAAACGCCCGTTTAGGTATAATATAAAATCTGAAAGCTATTTAGCCCAAAAGAGGGTTAGCTCAGAAGGGCTATTAATTTCGTTTTCGCATTTTGCGTCGATTCACTGTAAATGTCCTCATCACTTTTCAAATTGTTGCCACCAAATATTACCGCCCTGTATTATATTTAAAAGAATTAAATAATGAAGAATCTGCATAAATGTGTTATGTTTCTTGCACTGTGATAAAACAACGGTATCTATAGCCATTAAATTCTGAATAACGTTACGTTTCCTCTCGAATATGGGCATTTGGAAGCCCAAATTTCGAATTTGTTTTATTATCGATTTCATATTTTGTAACACTTCAACGAATTTTTGATTAACAAACTCAACGATTTCAAAGCGAGCAATGGCAACACAGTACTGAAAAAAAAAAAAAAAAAAAATCTCCAGGGTGCGAGACTGCGTATCGGAAATTCTAAAGATAGGCTCTTTTAAATATTTTGTGATATTGCTGTAGAATTGAATTTTATGGTTTAAGTGCGAAGAACATATTTAATAAACAAACGTAACACACAAAACGTTAAAAAAAAAAAAAAAAAAAAAAAAAAAAAAAAAAAAAAAAACACTCCTTTGGGCGTAATATAAAATCTGAAAACTTTCAGATATTATTATTATTATTATCCATACTTATGTCAGCTACAAAATGAATGAATGGTTCGGTATCGCTAGCGAGGATCGACGAAAGATTATCAGTGTTTTTGATTACAGAATCAACTCCAAATCTGAGAAAGTGAAGACTTCGTATATTTAATGCAATATCATTTTCTTTCATCAGTCAGTGGCGTGCGTTTTTATAAATGGTATGCGTTATCTGAAAGAGAATAAAGCTCCAATAAACAATAAAATAAAAAAAGAAAGAAAGAAAGAGGAGGATGCAACATTCTTATCGTCGTACGCTACACATATTTAGTAAATGGGTTTGAGTCACAGCGCTACTGAAACCCCGTGATTATTACTTGTACTTTTTATATCACCTGGGTTTTTACTCGGTTTATGAACCTTCCGTTAAATGTGGAAATTCTTAGTAAAGTAACAGGAGGTGTTTTAGTGTTTCTGTCATGAATAATGAGTTAGTTCTCACGACAGTAGCTGAAAGATCTCAGGTATTTGAAATTTATCATTCCTATTTTAGTATTTAAAAAAATTAATGCTTTAAATTCTTTCTTGCGACTACCGGGAGGGGTGTATTTAAAGTATATTTGTTTCGAAAAACTAACTTTGATCGTAATTTCGAATCTTTATCTGAATCCCTTCAGAAATTGCTGAAGTCCTCTTTAGTACCCTAACCTTACGTTAGGAAAAAGAAAAGGTAAGCATAATTTTTATTTTCTTGTGCGAAGCAAAGAAAGTACTACGATTTCGAATAATTTCGGGCATCATATTTCAACGAAAATATCCATTTTGACCGCTTTAGAATCCATTTGAATAATTTTTATTTTTATTTATTTATTTATTTTTTGTCTTTTGGCGTGTATCTGCACACATGGACAGAAACGAGGACTCTTTTTTTGCAAAACAGATTGTAAAATGGATTTAAAATAAATTCAGAAGACACCTTTTTTCGTGACGTCTTTTCGTATGCATACGCATGTACCTCGCATAACTCAAAAGTGAGCATCCATAGAACGTTGAAATTTTGTATGTGAGACTGCTACAACATGTATTTATTCACCTTTTTCCGTTGCAATCGGTCACAACAAACATGTATGTACCCACTATGTCACTCGGCTCCATGAGCACAATTCTTTTTTTCCTTAGATGTTGATAAATTTTGCATCTTTTACTTTAAAAGTGATTATGTAGTTCTTATGTTCCGGTTAAGGTTTTTATGCCTTTAGTTAATCTGTATGTAATAGTTGTAGAATTATCAACAATTTAAAAGTTTCAGTGACGCGAAGCCTAGCAAGCTGCCATTTGTTTACATTTAAAACGATTAGCAGAATAATGAATTAAGTCGGTTGTTGCACCAAATTCAATGTCTTTTTACGGAGAAGGATCACAAGTTAATTTTTAATTTTGTGCACCGAAAAAAAAAACTGTCTTCTTGCACGTTGGCTGAATTTCTTTTTGCGTAAGAACTCTAATTTTAATTATAATTTCTTTTTAACTTTTTTTAACTGTATCTGTTGTTTTAGGTTTTTCTGTATTTTATAATTTTTAATGAAGATGTTTTGAGTTTTTATGTATTTATGATTCATTGAGTTGACTGAATTAGAAATACTATATCTGTAACGGAATTCGAGAAAATAAATTTAAATTATCTGCAACAAAATATGTGTATAATTTAATAGTCATACAAGGAAGTCATACGGTGTTCACATCAGATATTTTATTTGAGTTTTCATACGAATTCAGAATTCTGTGGAGAAAATTCGTCTTCATTCAAGATTTAAAATATAATTGTTATACATAATTATATATAAAATAATATATTATGACTTGTTATTCAGTAGCCGCTAGGTAGTCAAACTTCATCTGGATTTTAAATTTATCGGAAAAATGCCTAAACCGAAAAAAACCTTAAGTTTAAAAACTGCAGAAAATTTTACATTGCAAAACAACTTTATCAAAAAAAAATCAATAAATATGTATGACACATAAAAAAATTACAGAGAAATAAGCAATATTCCTTAACACAAATTGTAATTATCCTAATAAATAAATTAACCAACTTCCCGTTGCCTTCTCTCGACAAACGTCCAGTATCCAAAAGAACATTAAGTTTAAAAACCGCACACAAGTTAATTTCCGAGCCTCATTTTTCCGAATCCAAGAATTCGAGTGGCAACAGTGCTGATATCAGGAACAGTGGCTGCGTGTCATTGTTGCTGATGTAATGAGAGAGAATTGTCGATTTGATGCGATTTCATCAAAAAACATAAAATGAAAAAAAAAACTCATTCGAATTTTGAAAAATTCGCTTCGAGGTCTACTGGCCTTGTCTAGATGCACTTGTACAAATTTCGTAGCCCTGGCTATGCTTCCAGCACAACGAAAGACACACACAGACAGACTCTTCTTATGTATATAGATGGAAATGAAATAATTTGAAAAAAAAAAAAGAAAAGAAAAGAAAATTAAAAAAAAAAAAAAAAAATTCTGAAATGTTTCAGATTTTAAATTACGTCCAAAGGGGCGTTTTTTAACATTTTGTGTTGTTATTTTTCTTTATTAAATATCATGTTCCTCGCACTTAAACCATAAGATCCAGTGCAACAGCAATATCGCAAAATAGTTTTAAAACGAGCATATCTTTAGAATTTCCGATACAGAGACTCACGCGCTGGAGATAAAAATGTTTTTTCTGCACAACGTTGCCATTGCTCGCTTTGAAATCCTTGAGTTTGTTAATCAAAAATTCGTCAAAGTTTTAAAAAATAGGAAATCGATCATAAAACAAATTTCAAATTTCAAATTTGGTCTTCCACATGCTCATATTCGTTGGAGGATTTACGTTATTCAAAATTCGATGACTCTATGTACCGTTATTTTATGACAATGTGAGAAATATACATACATTTACGCAGATTTTCATTATTTAATTTCTTCAAATATAAAGCAGGACTCTAACATTTTATGGCAACAGTTTGAAAAGTGAACCGACATTTATCCGTCCGACGCAAAATGCCAAAACGAAACTAATAGTCCTTCGGGATTCAAATCCCTTTGGATATAATAATTATTCATAAATTTAAATATTATTGATATTATTATTATTCATCAACAAATAATATTATCAACAGGTTTTTCATTCTTTCTGCATTATTGATGTTTTAGTACAAAAACTATTTAATACTGTTCATTATATTGCTACTGTTATTAATAAGAGTTATAATGCAAAGGATACCTCTTATTTAAATGTGAAAGTGTTAATTTAAACAGTTGATGGCTAATATTGAATAATCAGTAAAGTTTTTATTTAATCGTAACTGTATTAGTTACTCTAAAGGTTTAAAAATAGCTTGCTCAAACATAACAACACAATGGCCTTTTATTTCTCAATACAATCGTCTGCTTTATTTAAGATCCAAAGCTTAATTACTTCTCTGTTTGTCTCAATATTTTAGAATATTGTCAATAATTTTCAAAATAATAAGAGGGATATGTACTTACATAAATCAAAATGATCAAAATGGGGCAGTTCTATATGTCTCGTTCTACTGGACAGATTGTCGAAATTTAACTTGCTTTTTTTCATGTCCCGAAAGCGGGACTTTAAATATATATATTAGAGTTATATATAGCATTGTTTAACATAAGTATTTTGACAAAATTCGGCTATTTTTAACATACCAATAACATACCAATGTTTTTTCATATTTCGATTCTACGACTCAGATTATGCCCAGTTGCCAAGTTTTGTAAAAATCCCACGAAAAGTTTTTAAAAAATTAGCTCTCAAAATTTTAGCTCCCCCATGTTAGTTAAATTTGATAAATATATTTTTAATATCTCTTTTTTTATTAAATATATTTGATTCTTCCTTTCACATTTCGAAATTTAGGTTCATTCCAAATAAAATTTGTCCATTTTTTGTGATTTATTTTTAAACTTGTATTTTAAAATAATTTTTATAAATTTTTGGAAGAAAATTTAAATTATAACCTATAACATTTTTACCCCCATCTTAAAATAAATGTATTTTTAAGCATACCTGCAAAAATTAGTGTTTTTTATTCAAAATTTCCTAAGATATACACGAATTTACATGCCGCGTTTTGAAATTTGGCATATTAGTTACAAGCGATAATAACGCCAAATGTGGTTTCGCACGTTGTTTATGAGCGATGACCTTTTTTCCGCTTGTGTGAAAATAGCTTGCTATAAATTAACCCTTTAACTGTCAAGTTATTTTGATGATTTGGGTACACAAATTGTCATTTTTTTTATTGCAAAAATCCAATATCCAACATCCTCTAACCTTTGAAATCTTCAGCAAAGTGCTGTCATCTATTGAATTGAGCGCACATTAACTTTTCCCGAGATACAGTCGGGTTTGACAAAGAGATGAAGCCGAAATAAACGTCTCCCGATATATATTCGGGTATAACAATACGATACACTCAAAAAAAAAATTACCCCGAGTAATACTCGGGCGTGACATTTTTGAACACCAGTGCTGTGCCCGAGATTATCTCGGGCATGACAGTTAAAAGGTTAAGAATTTAGCCAAGTAAATTATTCTTGGCGCAAACTGAAAAAAATGCGCCAAGATAAATTTTTAAATTTCTCCATAAATTTCTCACCAAAAATTACAAAATTTAATATCTAGGCATAATTTGAGTTGTAGAATCGAAATATAGGGAAAATTGGTATGTTATTTCAGAAAAAGTGCGATTTTGTGTCAAAATTACCTCTGTTAGAATAATGCTATATATAAATCTAATGCATAGATCCTAAGTTGCGCTTTCGAAACAAGGAAAACGCAAATTAAATTTCGACAATCGGTCCAGTAGAACGGCAGATATAGAATAGATATAGATACACCCTAATGGTGTGTGTGTACGTGCAAGGTGTACGCACAATAGTAATTTTTTCAGGTATAATATTTACAGGAACATTTTAAGGGCAATATGATATTCCTACAATCCTTAATTAATAGACACACAACATTATAAATTAATCTCATAATTTAGCTTTCAGAATTTTGAATAAAAAACCCAATCAAAACTATTTTCTAGTTCATAAAACAATGATATGCATATTTTAGGTCTTTAATCATAAAGTGGAACTGAAATTGGCAAAGGGGCATATAATATTTCGGGGCTATCCTGACCTTAGCTTATATCGCAAAACATTATTAAACATACATTCTCTATCAGAAAAGTTTCAGGACAAAGGTCGTAAAACATAGAAAATTTCATTTAACAAGTAATGATCCTACCTGCTATTAAAGTAGTACCCTTGGCTATCTATACACTACTGCCAACGTTTCTGGATGAAGCGGGGAAATCTTCAACTGCGATGCTTGGCATACTCATTTGTCACATCCCGTTGGATGTCTGCAATAATCTTGATGAAGCTTTCCTTTCAGTCATCGTTTCACTCGCGGAAACAAGAAAAATCACAGTAATCTTTGACACAAATGTGGTATCATGTCTGG